ATAGCTAAATTTTTATGTTCCAATAATCTAGTTGACCCTGATCTATTAGTTTGACCTGTGCAATTGACCTCACTAAACAGCATTACATGGTATCTGATAAATTATATAATTTTTCCTAATTGGATCTATAGGGTCCTTAGGATGACGAAGTTTATCTCTGAAAGAGTTGTATGGTTTAAATGCCACCCTAATTTCAGCCTCACTGAGAGTTCCACGTAAGGCCTCCGACTTCCCTTCTTTTTACGTCAATACTAAGATAATGTACAATTAAACAAATTGAAAATGATTAATTCATTTATGAAGTTAGACAAGACCACTGGGAATTACAGCATGTATGAAACGTGTAGTTCATTTGCGCAACACATCCAGACGTTCTAATTACACACATACTCGTCATACATATTCACATAAAAGTTAACAAAGAATGAAAAGGTCAAAATTGAATTAATATAGGTCAAAATGTTTATTTACGGGGTCAAGGCCATGGATAAGAGGTTAGAAAAAAAGAGTCAGCTGTTTTGTAAAATTCCCCTATGCTTTAAAATCCCATTACTGCGGCATTCTTTAAACCTTTCTATGCCGGAGACTTAAAAACACTCAGTATCTGACCCAAACCTATTTTATACACGGGTTTAAAGACACTGCTGAAATCACCTTTATGACCTTGTAATAAATGAAGTCGGGTGTTTATTTCACAGGATCACGTGAAGTACGCAATTTCATCAGTTCTTGAAATCACTTAGGGAATGTATTCTGTATCCTACCCTATGTACATGTGGCAAAACATACATGTAAACAGGTAAACCTAAAAACACTCAATTAACAGTAGAGTTGCGATTGAGAAGAATATTATGCACTGTCCATGAGGCCCTTGTTAATCTTGACACTGATATATTTCATGTATTATATCCGACATATATCAGACCTCATTTGGAATATGTGATCGAAGCAACAAGTCCATGTTTCAAATATGAGATAATCATATTTTTAATTGGTTGATGGTGACTAGCAGTGGAATCCACGATACGCATTTCGTCCTATTTGGGACTCGTCATCGCAGCACTTTGGTCCAATCAACCGACGAGGAAATCACAAAATTCAATTAAATAATTATATTTTTTTAACTTCGAAAGGTGGCGAACAAACCTGATCAAGGAATTCTAAAATCTCTCATATAAGAAGAGACGTGGTCAACTAGAATTAATCCGACTTTAATATTAGCATTCCGTGTATTACAGAATGATTCAGGTGCTAAGTTATCCTGTCTATTTCCTTATTTTAGAAACTGTCACTTACGAAGACATCTTATTAAAGTTCAAAGGCCAATGTAAAGTTATCCAAGCTTGGAAACTCGTTTCTCTCATCGAATTGTGAACCAATAGAATTATCTAGCAGATCACGCTGTATCAGCTAGCACCTTCTGTTAATTTCAAGCAAGATTCTATCTCTACTGTATGCACGACCATGCACATGGTCCGAGGTCCGATCCCCTGCCGGCGAACACCTGATATCTATGGTCGGCTTGTATCAAAAATACAGTATGGAATCAAGCTGTAAATCAATATATATATATATATATATATATATATATATATAAATATATATATATATATATAACAACAATGTTAGAAATGAAAATTTGCGGTCTCAGTCAGAACAAACAAACAAAGTATGCCATTGATAAACTCCAACTTCGATCAATACAACATTAAACACAGTCATTCTGATCTCAAAGCATTACTAATTTTTATTCTTCCTTATCACAGATCTTGCCAAAATGATGCCTACATCACATACAAATGTGCACAATTTTATCAGAATACGATAATACTAAAAATAGGTGAGTTCCAATATAATTTTCAGCTTAATATTCACATCAGCTTCTATGGAAAGTAACAAACTTTGATAGTAATTATTAACTTCATGGTACTACCTATGAGCTTAAAAGCAACATAGTCTTACTATTAATTGTATTTTTTTAATGGAGAAGACGTTATGGAAATGTGGAGACAACTATGGGTGTTTATACGAGTGAGTTTGTTTTTTGGGGGGGTTATTTTTACTTCATTCCTTTTTTCTATAGTTTGGTTTGTAAGGGTTAGTTTCGTTTTTACGAGTTGATCACGGATTGATATCAGTTAGAGAACCATTGAAAACCAAGGAGTACTGGACAGCTGCTGTTTCATCCTAGTTTGGGAATCATCGTCAGTACGCACCCACCAAAAGGGTTCGAATCCAGGACCTTCGGATTACAAGGTAAACTCGTATACCATTCAGCCACTGGGACCCGATTCAATGACTAGCCCATGAATTCTTACTTCCACCAATTCGTGATTTAGCGCGACTCCAACTTTTGTCGTAGGTGGGATATCCATCCTCACACGTGACACCTGGATGGAGGGTTCGAACCCCAGTGGGTGCGTACTGCTGATGATTCCCAAACTAGGATGAAACAGTTGTCCAGTACTCCCTGGTTTTCAATGGTTCTCTAGCTTCATTCCTTTACTTTCTGAGTGAAACATGAAGCTTCCCATTCTGAAGTTACAGTGGTGTTTACCTTTTGCAGGGTGAAGTTGTTAGCCTCACGCCCGACCTACTCTGATTCCCAGGTTTACTACCAGCTAACAGATTAGGTGTGGTTTAAGAGGGAGTCGGCTAGGAAATGAACACTGAAACACGTGTAGATTATGTAACAATAGGATTGTACACTTTTCATTAGATTTTGAAATGAGAGACATTGCACATGAATCTTGTTTAAAACGATTCATGTTGGAATACAGATAACTTCGAGTACAATCTAAAATACAGTGTACTGTTGGTCGTTTCGTCTATACTGTCTACTTGCTTCACTCATAACCATGTTTTATCCTTTGGATTTTTGCAGAAACCTCTCATCCTCATCCGAAGACTATTCTGCAACCGGTGCACAGCTTCTGTCAGTAGACACGACTCCAGCATTGAATGCTTTAGTGGATTATATTAATAATTTGTAGCCATGGCCTAAATTGTTTATCTGAGCAACCGTTTAATGAAAATAACTCACTACTGTATTTTTTTATAATAAACTGTTACACTATCATCTCACTAACTTGGATTTTTATTCACATACTTGTTATGTTATTGAGCTCGCTAGATAATCCCCTACACACGTACGTGCTTGATGAGCAACATACTATTGAACCACTGATAAGTGGGATTTATATCTTTCCTAGGACATTTGAATTTTTAGTCTCTAATATTTTGCAATTCAGCTTAAGAAACTCCGTCTTTGTTTTTCAAAAAAGAGACTCGTACTAAAATATTTCGGATTACACTCACCACCCACCACATCCATGCGATTTCAGTCTTCTAGGGAAATCTAACAGCTTTCTTATGACTTTTATAAACATTCTAGTAACAAAGTTGTGTTTTTTACTTTCTTGGTGAATGACATAATGAGACTTGAGGTAATGGATACCTGTCATTCATACAACACTAATTAGTTAAGCTCCAGTGGTAATTCAGCTATTCGCATAGATTATCATAATCCCGAAGACTGACTGTTTATAACTGAAAGATAAGTAACCAATCAATTGAGACTGGGTCATTAGATTGGAACGAGTACACGGATACGTTTGCAAAGGTATGACTTAAGCCTGAACGAAGGCGTAATCAGAGGCAGCAAGATTCAATAAACACATCTTTATCTGAAGTGAAACAGACTTCTAGTTTTTCATGTATGCAAATGGAATGGCACATGTTAAAAGTGTTTACTATTAGATGCTAAAAAAACTCCCGATAACAAACAGTCATGCACTGACAACAGCGAAGTGAAACATTACTGAAATGTTCCTAAATACCTCCATCAAGCAGTGTAAATTAGAAGCAGGATAACTTCATCTGTTTGAACAAGGCCACTGATGAAAGCAATCAAACTAGAATGCCTCAGTTCACTTTTATTTAATCTGCTTTAAATTTAATCATGATTTATTTCGGATGTGAGTACTGATTATACATGAATTACAACTTTTTAAGGGACCAGTAGAATACCACATCACTCAAGGAGGATGCATCATCTCTTACTAACCAGTAACAAATAATTATATTTGACTAATCTACGAAGTTATACTGTAGGGAGTGTCACATGGTTTTGAATACTGTGAAAGACCTACTACTTCAACGGGAAAACAGTAAAGTACTAGATTATCCAGTATAATACTTATCGAATAATCAGTCTTTACGACAAACAACTCAGTCCCTAATAAAATTAAAAATTATTTAAGATCCTACGATGAAAGTGTTCGAATAGAAATCATACTTCCGAATAAACAGCTCCCCGGCTGGCATAATCTCCTAATATTAATGAAGGATATTTGAGGCATACTAATAACGATTGCTATGACAAGACCAAAGCGATCTACTTATAGCAGTCATGGTTACTTCGTCAAATGTGACTGACTTAAAAGTAAACAAGTGTGTAATCACCGCCCCAGATAATCTGATGCTCACCGGAGATTGATTACAAGATGCAGCCGATGACATAGATACTGCATATCGTAAACCAGTATAGGTTAAAATTCATTGACTGATGCCTGAATCATCAGCGAGTTCACCTTGTATTATCCTGAATTTGCCAAGTTCAGTCTCCAGTGGGGTATTAGTTGAGTACTGATGAAGAGTCGCGCACTAGGACGAAACAGCTGTCTTGTACTCCTTAGTTTTTAATGATTATCTAACTGATGACAATAAGTGACCTTAGACCGAGATCTATCCACTGTTATTGAATGTAAGGCCTTACAAAAACTACAATGATCATTATTGCCCCTCGCTGTAAATCCGAGTTCAAAAGTCTACTATGGCCGTGTATTATTAATCCAACGACATAACTTTCTTTTCTATTCGAAATCCTGATCGTGCAATAACTACACAGTCACCATAGTACCAATGGAATGGAAGTTAAGCAAAAACACACGGAATAGAATCTTATAGAAAATTGTATATGTATATATAAGATAAATGAATCAACCAGATTTAAAAAGCAGGATTGCAACTTGTCCAAGATACAAATAGATAAAATGTTTGGTCTCGTGTGTCACATAGCTGCAAAAGAAAAAAGAAAAACAATTGAATTATAATGAATACATGTAAGCCAATGAAATAACTCCAATGCTTCTCAAATTTAGACTTGGAACAAAAATGAACTAGGCCATAAATCTGACCGGTCTCACGTAGACTGTTCTGTTGACAACAAACACAACGAAAAGTTAGGTGACCCAAAATTAAGAAAAGGTCAATCTTAGTGAGACACGTTTAAGCAAATGTACAAAGTGAGAGAGCGTGAATGGACATGAAAACACGTAGGATTAATCGGTAAATGCAAAACCATTGCTAGATGTTTAGTTGCTATGACTTTCCAGCTTTCAGCATTACGGGTGTACACTGAAGGTAGGATTGACAATACAACCGTTATGTTATGATTTAGTGAAAATGTAAGCTCGACAACAGATAGTGTTAAGATGCAAAGATATAATTCATATTGCCTACGTTGCCACTAGTCCATTGAAAATCACAGTAAAAGCATCCTTAAGAGGATAACATTCCAAACATTCGTTTACCATTATTATAACACGTGGAAGTTCGCGGCTCAACGTGCACGGCTCTAATTCCTCTTATTAGTTTTTCGTAGGAGTAGTGGGGTTCTCGTAATATACGGGGCCACTTAAATTGTACAGTGACAACAAATAAAGTAAGACAAACCATACTTTATTCCGTTGATATATTTTCAAATACCCTTTTTGTTACTGCTCAGTTTAACTATCTGGAAAAACTAGGTAAAATAAAATCAATACAGCTCCATTGTACTAATATTCATGTAATATATAGTACAATGTAGAAATCCTTTGCCGTCATACTTCACAGTCACTTGCCAATCAGTGATCGCATAGATCCTGAGGGTGGTTCGCAGTTTAAGTTATACACATGTCACTGCCGTGGTTAGGGTCAATGTTTTCATCAGACACTCAGTTTCGTTGAACGAAATATGGTCAAGTTGCAGAATAGCAACCCAGGGGAACGAACGCTAGGATATAGGGGAAGACTATGCTTCGGATTTAGTGAGTCTGTCCGTTTCAGAATCATTGGTGCGTTCATTCTCTTCGGTCGCTATTCTTTATGACATAAACGAAAATCACAAAATTGAATATGGTGTTACAATAGTACTACATATATTCTATTAGTCCTTAATAAGCATAAAACACGAAGAGGAAAATGATTATTACTACTTACCTGCCAAAATTCCTTCCAACTATGCAATGCCATGTTGGACTGTACTTTTTGTCACATTCTTTCTTGATATAAGCAGCAATATCCTTTTCAATATTAAATTTATCCAAACCATCACTACAAATTTGCACTACATCAGTCTGCATTTCTTCAGACATATCAGCATTTTTAATAACAGCCTTTCTTTCCGACATTCTAACAGACTAGTAAATAACACGAAAACGTGGAACAAAGTATAGTGATAGATAGGGCGTGACTAAAACATGAACTATATATGCAACTTAGTGTACAGATTAGTAAGCCAATCACAAATAAGTTTTGTAGACGGTCACAGTAGCTTAGCTTCACTCCAAATTCACTCGTTTTATGGATTGGATTAGAATCACCCTATGACTATTGCATATCCTTGTTCATTGATTGGTGTATTTGGTCATTGTATTTAACTTTGAATAATTGAATAAAATTAATGCTAGAAAACTGAAGAATTGTGAAAGTTAAAAAAAGAAAACCTGTTGAACTAGATCAAAGTAATATAATTATTAACAGTATTATCCGCAGTATTACCTAGACATCGATTGATGGATAGTAAAGACACCTAGTTCTGCTAAGATTCATTGTGATGAAATTGCGAAGGGTTGTTCAAATAACTAATTATAGCATCTTATTACATTCGATTCACACCACAAAATCTGATCAGAAAATTTTATGTCATCGTTTAATGTTATCTTGTTCACCTCTGTAAAAAACTAACCATTGGCAAGTTCCACAGTCATCATTTCCAGAAAAAAAATCCTGCGAAAGGCAATTTACTGTGATGGAAAATAGTTGTTACGTTCTATTTTAACGTGTGTCACAGTTACTGAGTTTCTCTGATTATCAATAGATATTCACACATTTCATTGAATTTTAGATTTTCCCGTCGATTGATTGAACCGAAGTGCTTTGTCTCAGGTTAACAAGTCAGCTTCTTGTGCAGATGCTTCTAACTACATGCCCAGACATCGTCGAAGCATCTGCACAAGAAGCCGACTTGTTAACCCGAGACCGAGCACTTCGGTTCAATCAATCGATGGGAAGATCGAAAATTGAATTAAATAATCAATATGACCCATTGAACAAGAGGTGGCTCTCGCGGCCAAAGTAGTCTAGTGGAAAAACGCTTTAGCGTTGAAGCTATGAGCACTGGGTTCGAGCCTCTGTGGGAATGTCATCACTCACTGAGGAATGCAGGTACATCCAGATCGTCCCAAATGGGACGAAGTGAGCATCCTCGGTTCCACTGCTAGTCACCATCCACCAATTAAATTCACACATTTCGTTTAAAATTCCTCAGGAATATAGTTTCTTAAAAATCATATACATGTGCAGTTTGATAATAATTTTGTTGAGCAGTCTCTCCTCTGAATGTCGTGTTCTAAAACTGAATTTATAATTACGATGGTACAGATGTATAAGTGAATAAAATCTCTGAAAGCGTCCCTTCACAGAACTACTTTTTGTTTTTTCCATGTCTTCAAATGACTGGAATACTTTGAAATGCTCAGAAACAATAAAAACAGATTTTCAGCAAAGACTTCAGGGATTATTTAACGACCTAAAGGATAAGTATATGTAGTATACTTGTATAAAGTTGGTATGTCATTTTTTGTCTTCTAGTGTTCTTAACTAAACCAAATGAGACACAACTTAGCTCTAGATAAACACCATGAAACAACATAATAGGTGTCATGATGCATCGATGTGAACTGCCCTCTTAATTGTGACCAATGTATCTGTCTATTTCCAGGTTCGTGGATAAGAATCTATCAATCAAGTAAATGTGCCATGTGATCATTAGACTAATTGGAACCTCAGACCAGTGCTCTGTAGTCCTCTTGATATCCTAGATATTGGCTTCATACTTTTTAACATTCATCCGCAGGGTATGCCTGAAACCTTAGAGAAGTTCGTATTTCTTTTGACTTTTTAAATGGTTTCATTTATTAACAACTATATTTCAAGCTTAATCATGAACTGATATCAGTTAGAGAATTGCTGAAAAAACAGGGTATACTGGACAGTCATTTTGTCCTAACTTGGGACTATTCAGCACAGGTCGTTGAACTCCAGCCCGAGGGGATGAATGATCAAGTAGATTGGTCCTACAGCTTGAAGTTCTTAGGTTCGATCCCACCTAGCGTCATAGTGAAGGAATTCTGAAGAGTCCCGAACTAGGACGAAACGGTTGTCCAGTACTCCCTAGCTATGAGCGGGTCAGTTGTTGGTTTTCAGGGGCTTGATTGGTTTCACGATTTCCTTATGAACTGACGTCGGTTAGAGAACAATTGGAAAACCACTTGGGAGTACTGGACAGCCGTTTCGTCCGAGTCCGAGAATCCTTACACCCACTGATTTTCGAAACCAGGACCTTCCGGTTACAAGGCAAACTCGTAGACCATGTAGCTACTTGGACCCGGTCCAATAGCTAGTCTATGAATTCCAACTTCTGCTAATTTACGATAGTGCACAACCACTAGCACATTATCATCGGCTAGTATTTGTCCTCATACCCGAACAGCTGTACACCCCTGGTTCTTCAATGGTTCTGTTATTGATATCAGTTTATGATCACACTTGTAAAAAAAAACCAAATCCCTACAAACTGACTGTTGAGAATTTTCACATTACTCTGTAACCGTACGTCGGTGGTTCGGTGGAGGAATGCTCACCAGCCACGCATGTGATATGGGTTTTGATCCCCGGACGACGCACTCCTAAACCTCTCAAAGATGGCAGTAAAGCTGATAAATATGGTAGACTGGGTATGAGACTAGTAACCCCACTCGGTAAAAATGAAAGTGCTGCTACAGAAACTTCACAGCTGTACTTTGAAGCCTAATGTTCCACTTAGAATGTAAAGGAATAAATTAATTTAGAGAAGTAAACCACTCTGCAACCATTTTATGAAGAATCACATTTGTTATGTCAGAACTCGTGAAATACCCTAACTGCCCAAAAAAACAGTAGTTGAGTTTGTTTCCAATCTTGTGATTTATTAGATTACAGTTAAATGCATAGACCAGTGTCAGAGCCATACATCAATGTCTTGATGTAGTTGTGTTCTCTGAGCTGGAATGTTTATTTGCGAAGTTTACTAGTCATCTCTCCTGGTGGCATTGGGCGTGATTAGTTGTTTTTGTGTGTTTTCATGCCTGGTAGGCTACTTTTATTGGAACTGATTGTTTCCTTGACCTGAAGTTTGGCATTTTGTGTATGAGATTTCCTTCTTATCGACTGGTAAATTTTTTCTATGCTAATGTGTCTCTATCGATTGACAATTCATTGGAATACCAGGCTTCTAAGTATTCTCTAGCATTCTTGGTGTTTTCCCTGTCTAATATTTGAACGTTGTCCCAGACGAATTGATATCCGTGTCTGCATTTAGTGATATAAGGAGTAGATATCATATCTTTTGATGGCTAGCTTATGATCATGGATACGAAGACGAAAAAGACGTCCACTTTGGCCAATATAATGTTTTTCGCAATGGTTGCAATTTATTTTGGGGATGATGTTGGTTTTATCTTCTTTCACCGTTGAGTCTTTTGGTTGACACAGAACCAGCTGAGTGAAGTAATTTTGTTGGTCTGTGTGTGCCGTCAATTCCTAAAGGTTTGAAGAATCTTGCAGTGATTTCTGAGATGTCCTTTATGTATGGTAGGGCTGTTTTCTTTGTGCTTTCCTAGGGGGCCTTTGATTTGATAGGTTGGCTTGGGGGTAGACGTCTTCTGATCTTAATCTTCCAGTTTCCCTTCATTTAGATTTCAATATTTTTATACTTATTTCCTTTCCTTCTACTTCTACCTATCGTCCCACTACCAACTATTGACATCTTTTTTTATTCCTTCACGTTCCCAGTGGAACATAGGGCTTCAAGTTAGTGGCTTGAAGTTTCTTTAGCAGTAGTGTTTATTTTTACAGCATGGGGTTGTTAGCCTCATGCCCAACATTTCCTCTTTACCAGTCTTACTACTGTCTTAGCGAGGTAAAGGAGTGCGCCGGCAGGGAATCGAACCCCGGACCACATGCGTGGTAGGCGAGCATTTTATCTCTGTGCCACCGACGCACATTGACATGTTTGGATAACTTTTATCCACCAGTTTGCTTTCATTTCACTTAACTGTTACTTTTAAACCTGAAGTAATTACTTCTAAAGTAAATACAATTAAAGCGTAAGGATATAAAGAAGGCTTCTAAACATCCTCATTGGATAGTTATTATGATTAGTTGTGAATGTTTGTCAGTGAGATTCGAAATTCATAACAATCTTGAATCACCCGCTTTTACCGACACACATACCCATATAAATAAACGTATATATATATATATATATATATATATATAATCTAGCAAAATCCATTTGTAGGAGTGTAATGTAATTGCAATCGACTACATATCGAATAAACAGTGTTTAAATAGGCTAGGAAAATAACAACATGTGATATGGTAACAGTTTAAATATCACCAGGGTAGGATAGACAGTAAGACTTAGTGATTGAATGTAAACAAATTTACTACAAAACAATTTTTTTGGTTAGGAGATTGTTATCTCCAATATTTTCACTTATTATCGGCGTTGAACAGAAATAAACAAAACGGTGTAGATATAAGAATGAAACTTGTACACTGTGGTAGAGCATAATTACATTATGGGTAAAATTTGTTTTGATAAAATTTCACAGTGTTATGCAGTAATATTTACTGATGACGGTTCGAGGGCAATTTACTGTTCATAATCATATCACGTGACTTGGTTAACAAAGTTGTTTTAATTAATGATAGAACTTGAAATATATGTTTTCAGAAATGATGTTAGATTACTCCTGTTACACGTTCCTAGTACTACCCCGGCGAATATAGATTCCATGATCAACTCATTCTTCAGATCTTGGCTATGTAGTCTTATAATGAAGGCGTTACAATTTCCTTTATTCAATGAAAAATAATCATTAGAAATTGAAAACTATGAATGTTTAGTGGTTTCAAGTTATGTCACGAGTTGACATCAGTTAGATCACCAGTGGAAACTAAGGTGTACTTGTGTGGTGAGAGCTGGCTGCTAGCCAAATTGGTAGACAGTAACCTACGTCAATGTTTATGTCCCAAATATTGGTCATGTGAAAACAAGAGCAAAGACTGACTCAACAATCAATCA